CTCATCGGCCCAATTGAATTACAAGCAGCACCTTGTTCTGTGCAAGGCTTTTTAACGGCTGATTTAAGGAACTTGCACTTCTCCTTGAACGTCACACACACTGCCTGCTTGAATGAGAGTTAGCATGGCTTTTGCAGAAGTGAAACTTTATTGCCTTCCTTTTCATACAACTCTTGCTTTGATTGATTTTTGATTGAGTTATTCTCAGTTTGTTTGTGCTTTTTGGAACTTAATATGCCACCAAGGCTTTTGTTTTCATCACACCGTTGCAGCAGTTTACTGCGAATTATTTGCTTCACAGGACGTCTATCCTGCGTCATTTCTCCCCACAGCACTTCACATCTGCTGTCATTTCATTACAGACATTTATCTGACACAATGTGCCTGCCAAGACACTCTGGATAAATCAAACTGTTATTTAGTCTGCTTCCCCGCACCTGAGTGAAAGCAAAAGGCAGAAAATGGTCTTATTTTCTCTTTCCAGCAGTTATTTTTATTGGTGCAGCCAGCAGCTCAGTAAGTCTGTTTATCACTAAACATATTCCCAGTCAAAGAGCATCAGGTTTCATTGAGTTGGTGTGTGCTCAGCAGGTACAGTGCATTTATGCAGTCTGCCCTAGCGATCAAACAGAACCTGCATCTGAATAACTCTTTTTTTTCCAATCCAAAGCCACTTTGGCAGGTTGCTACTCGTTAGACCTCCAGTTTCCAGTCTCCCTACTGCCTCTGTGCTTCTTTGACTGAATGACAGGGTTTGCTATTTCTCTCTTTTTATATCTCTCTGTTTTTATGTCTTATTTGATTGTCTACATGCTACAGTTCCAATTTTGCCACCCATTCCTTTTGAATACGGTGATGGTATACATGCAGTTGAATCTGCACTAAACAGCTTAAGAAAAACTGTTGGTCCCACTATGAAATACAACTAAATTAGACTGTACTATATAGTGTTAAAAGCAAGATCTATGGAATAGTAGTTAAATACAATACCTTGCAAAAGCAATAATGCCCCTTGTTGTTCTGTTATGATTAAACCAATTCAGAGTGTTGTAATGGGAAATCATGTAATTGACCAAAATAGTGTAGTAATGGGAGTTTGTGATAAAATTAATTATATGTGGGTTTTAAAAATTTTATGAATATAAAATAAAGTTGTTTGTGTTATATACCTGACGACCAATAAAGAAATCAGACAGACCAGATAGATATAAAGTTCTAAAGTTAAAACATAATTTTATTATGAAACAACCTATGAAGAAATGTTCTAGCCCTCATTTAATAAAAAAAAGTTTTATGGCACATGGCTTTCCAGTAGTGCTGTAGTCAAGACCACAGCAGTGGAGACCAAGACAAGTCCAAGACCTTTAGAGGCCAAGACCTCATTTAGTCTTGGTCTTGGTGTTGTTCTCTGCCTCAAAAGGTCTTGGCATGGTCTTGAAACTCCTTGGTCTCAGTTGGTGTGGTCTTGAATACAACACTACTTACCACCCTAACTACAGGGTCTGACACAGTAAGCAGTAATTAAAAAAAAGAGTGAAGATAACCGTAGATTCTGGGGAGATTCAATGATTTGTTGTGTGTTTTAAAACTCTGGTCCTTATGGAAAAGTAGCACAAATAAGAAAACTACTATTGCCAGAAAGCTCATAATTGTCCCATTTCATTTTGTTCATCAGCCATTTAGGGTAGAGATGGTGCTGTGGTTAGGTAGGTGAAATTCAAGTTTCTGTACTTCATTCTGAAATGATCCTAGAAAAGCCGGTCAAAGTTGATGTTAATAGAGTTGGATCTTAAACCCCTAACTGGAGATAAAACTGTTTGAAGCTACAGAAGATGTGATGCCAGAGCTTGAAATGTTTTGCAAAGAATGTTGTAATGAATTAAGGTAAAACATTCGTAGAAAGATACACCAAACTACTACCTGTAAAGGGTGAATATTTGCTATAATGAAGTATTTTCTGAAGACGGTTGAATAAAAAATATGCAGCACACTATTAATTTCTTTCATTTTTGTTTTTAATTCAGACTCTCTGTTTATCATCCATATGTCAAGCTGCAAATTGGAAAATTTCAGTCAACTCCTGGGTATGTGGGCCACCCACAACTTGATTTCACTTTAAGTGCTTCTTGTTTCTATTTCTTTGTCTCTCCGGCTCCATAGATTTTCTTCTAATATTGGTCCCAGTCTGTCCACATGTCTTCCTGTATCTGTATATCTGTGGAAAAAGTAACCCACCCTTGGATTTTGGGTCTCTATCTCCAAGGTGACCTAATCTTCAACAATCCTGGAACAGTGGTGCTCCTGTTGAAACCCAGCATGTTACAGCACTGTAAACACCAGTATCTGCACAAGGCTGCTTCACTTTTACTGAAGGAGCTTCAATACACGTCAAATGATATGAATTTGTGACACTGTGATTGCGCAATGGTAAATCTTTCTGCATTCATTCAAGGATTAAGGCATCAGATAGTAGCCTACACTGCAAAAATTATCTAAAAATTACTAAAAATGTCTTAAAACAGGTGTTATTAACCTTTGCCAATGGAATTACTATTTTTACTCTCAAAATAAGACAATTAGGCTACGTTCACACTGCAGCCTGAAGTGACCCAATTCCGATTTTTTTTGCCCATATGTGACCTGTATCTGATCTTTTTATGACAGTCTGAACGACACAGATCGGATTTTTTCAAATGCGACCCAGGCCACTTGGATATGTGGTCCTGAATCCAATACGTATCTGATCTTTTCAAATGCGACCTGTGTCTGTACGGCCAGGTCGCATTCATCCGACCTACACGTCATTGATACTTGACAAATGTTACTAAACGTTACTAATCTGCGTCCTACTAAGCGGAGGTGGGAAAAACTAACAACCATGGCAGAAGATAACACAGAGAGCAGTCAATGGAGAGAAAGTGAGGTTGCTGACTTAATTTATATTTGGAAAGATAGCTCGATTCAGACCAAACTCGAAGGGTCTTACCGGAACCGGGTCTTTCTTTTTGATCTTCTTAAAAAGATTCCGTTCGTAATGTGCCTGCTCCTGTTGGAGAATAACTTAAAGAACGCAATATGCGCTGCGGTACTACGAGTCATGTTTACTTCCGCAAACACTGAGGACGCTTGCTACATGTGACGTCATCGCGTCCTCGAGTGCGCATGCGGGACACTTCGGTTGAACACTTTTAGTTCACACAGTAGATCACATACAAGTCGCATATACTTGGAAGTGTCAACGGACACGCAAAAAAATCCGATTTCACAAAAAAATCGGAATTGAGCATTAAGGCCTGCAGTGTGAACGTAGCCTTAGATATTATGCACTTGAAATAAGACAATGCAATTGTTCTTTCTTATCTTAAATGTAAATTGTCTTGTTCCTTTGGCAAAGTGTCTCATTTACCTCCTGAATTCAAGAAAACATACTCTTATTATAAGAAAAAAATGACTTATTGAGATTATATTTTTTGGCTGTGAAGTAAGAATGTGTGTGCAGTTCTGACTGCTGGTACTGGATCAAGTAGTGCTGTTGGCATGAGCAGGGCCATGCTGTTAACCTCTTTGCCGGTCAAACTGATCTCCCCCTGTCTGTCCGTCTCATTGACCCAATGCACACTCTCACACAGACACACATGTAAACCTGTCCTTTCTAATCAGATTTCCACTGAAGTGAAAAATATTTAGCACTGTCCAATCACTACTATTGAAAGAGTCAAAAGCATTGAGAGAATATTTCTTTTCTCTGAGCCCAGTCAGTGGAAGACAAACCCTGATTCAGATTTATTAATCTCACTGGTTCCCTGCTGTCACCAGATCAGATTTCACTAGGTTCTCCACCATCTTTGAGTTTCATCATATCCTTTTATGTTAGAAGGGTTTCTCTCTCACAAAGCCTCTGCTCTGTGTGCATGCCCTTATCTGACATAGTTGTATAGTGTGGTAGTTACGTCATGTCAGAGGGCCCCATAACGCAGTCATTGAGAAATAAATCATTCTAAGCTTAAGCATTTTTGTTTTATGAGATGTTGTTTTTTCTGCAAAGGAAGATGTAAGGGTAAGTCAAGCACTGGAAATGGACAACAAGCTTGACAGATGCCCTCGAATTACAGCTTTTTGTATATTTTGCTATTCTGTGGTAGAGCGTCATGATATGATGAGACAGAAATGTCACTCTGAAAGTGCTGTCAGTAGTAAATGCTGTTTCATAATCTTTTATTGGCTCTTTGTGTAAATGTGTAGTCATAAATGTGTAAACAGGGAAATCCATGCTACAGTAAGGAACACCTGGCCCTGTCTGCAGCCATAACAAACAGCAGGAGGGGATTAAGACTACATTTGTATTTATGCCAGCTTGTTGTATGCACTCTGTCTTCGCTTTTTTTTCCTCTAAAATCTACCATGTAATGCGACATTGCTGCTTGGCATGGATTCACGCTTGTAAGTTAGTTTTTCTTCTTTTTTGCTCTTTCATGAGATGTTCCCACTCACCCATGTGTCCCTCATTAAGGTTACGGCCTGGGACGGGCCTGCAGTAATATCCAGCACTTTGGAACTCATCTGCGAGCTGACCGAGTCAGAGATAATGTAAAGAGGTGGATACATTTGGCAAACTACTGGACATAAAGTTCGAAGCGTCTACAGTAAGAATTCATTAGGTGGAGGACTGATGGGAGAGGGGTCTCTGCTTGACCTCTTTTAGAGCTTGTGGCTAAAGGACAATTAGTGAAATTAGAAAACAGTTTATGCATATTTTTTTTATTCTTTCTGAAAATGTTTTCCTTTTTTTCTATGACAGAATCGGATCTCCTTTAGGGGGTTAGAAACTCAAAAACATATGATTTGAGCACATCTACATCACCTCCTATAGGTTCTGACTTTTCTTGGTGTGAGAGTTGTGACATTCGCAAAAAACTGAATCCAAATAAATGCTTTTTGATAAAGATGATGAGAACTGAATTGCATCAACCCTCTAATAATTTTCTTTTTCTTATTTTCAGCAAGTTGCACCATATGGGCAGCAGTCGATGGGGGGATTCAGCAGGGAGCAGCAGGGAGGGCAGCAGGGAACCCCTCCGTATTTCAGTCCTCCTCAACAAACTCCCACAGGCCCATCCCAGAGTTCCTTCCTGCAACCTCGACCCCTTCCACAGCAGGTACTCTCCTACACTCTGCACCTTCATTAGTAAGATAAAGATGTAGGTTCTAGCCATGATCATCTCCCCCTATGCTATTACATAAAAATGAAAGTATTTCATAGGCTGGTGTTCCTATCCTTGCTTGACGTCACATCAATGGAATACCTTACTCTGTTAATTTATGCCACACTCTGAAATGAATCGAACATTTATAATACAATGACTATTTACTAATGTTTAGGTTTAAAGGGGTTTAATAAGACACTGCTTTAAAATCCCAGATATTTTTCATCATGTTGTTATGGTTGTAGGTGAAAGTATTTAGGGTTTACTACTGTCATAGGAAGCATCAGTTAGCACAACTTTCAAAATAAAAGCACTTTTAGTTTGAATCATTTAGAATGTGAACATAAACTCTGATTGGCAGTAGCTTTTCCAGTTTCTTTTCTTTGAACATAAATGCATAACTATGTTTTGATGGGGTAGATAATATACCCATTCATTCTCCAAATATGTTACATCAACTTTTTGTATAGTGTGTTAGAAAAAAAACACTCTTTTTGATATTATGTGTTCAAATCCTCTTAAGAACCTCTACAGCAAGGTAGTCTTATATACAGACTAGATGGTATGAATTCTAATGTGAATTTGCTTCATTAGAGATTGGACTTTCATTCATGGTAACTATTGGAAAATATACTTTTGGATAAAATATCTCTTGAAAATCTCAATTACAAAATATTTTTTTAACTTTAATTATTTACATGTACACTTTTTTTTTACAGCTGTAGTTGTATAGGTTTCCTTTTTATTAAACAAAATCACATTCAAGTAAAATATTAGTAATCCATTTGTAGAAATGTCATATTATGTTTGTATTTATAATCAAGGTTATCATACTATGTGATGCCTGACATAACCAAAGTTAAATATCTTATCTGAACTCATCAAAACTGTGTTTTTAATTCAATAAAGAAGGCTGGTCCTTCCAAGATCGGCGTTTTTACCATAAAAGGTCAAAACATAGTTGAAAAGAACGTACACATGTATATAATACATTATATAGTACATGATTCAATTCGGGCCTGTCTCAGTGCTTCCACACATGTTGGAAATTTCGTATGCACAAATGTCCATCACATGTAAACCCAATTCTCAAAACAACAAAGGGTCTGGAGTGCAGATACAGATCGAGACTTCTCCTTCCAAGTTTCCAGCTGCTTTTCTGTGAAACATTTCCAGCCTGTAGCTGGAGTTCAACGAGTCGTGTTTTTGGAGTTAAGTGAAGGCTGCCAATGTGTTTCTCATCCTCTCTTAAGCAAGAGGGATCTGGTAGGCTGTATGGAACAACTGCGGGCCATAGCCCCGGCACCGAGTCATTACAGAGGAGAATAAAAATGAACGGGAGAAGAAAAAGGAACAAGATCGGCAAGACTGCAACAGAATTAGGCAGGAAAGAAGAGATCAGATTAGGCAAAAGTGGAAACAGGGTAAACTTTAACAGCCTTGTCCAGAGAAGTAAGCTTGAGTTTTTATTTTATTCTGGCTGTATAAGCATTAAACCTGATAAAGCTTGTTAAAGTCAGTAAATATTGGCTTTGACAGTCCACATTTCCCATTGCACATTACTGCAAATGCATGACAAGTGCCAGTATGTAAAAAGAACAAAATGAGCTTTAAGCTATCACAATGCTGATGTAAACATTTTTGAGTTTGATATTTTTACAAATTTGCCAAAAAATAAAACTCAACTCCCAACTGGTTCATTGATCTGAATGATTTAGTAAAATACCTATAGATCGAATAAATATAAGATAAAAGTACAAAATATACAACAAAAAAAAGAACAGTATTACCTGCTACATGTCAATGTCTAGGCAGGATGTTTCCAGTGTAATATCGTGATATAAACCTCATTAGAGCCTTTAGACCTGACTCAGACTTGTTGAAAAAATTCTTGTAAACAGCTTTCAATTCGATCGACAGCTTCAGATCAGATTTGTTCCAGGAAAACTGCTTTCATTTTAGTCCATCGATACAAAATACCTTTTGAAACTCCTCATTGCTTTATATTTACTTAACAATGAAAGTGATTATGTGTACAGTACAGTAAAACGTCTACTTGCCAAGTGTTAAACCAGAACAAAATTACCTGTTTTCAAGTTCATACTTTGCTGATTTTGATTATGTAACAAGAATTTATCATAATTTGGGATCTATAGTAATGGAGTCCAGTACTCACATAAAAGGAATGTGGTGTTTTTGTTTTTAGGCCCATCCTTACAATATTTTGTTGCATGTTCAGTTTTTGTCCAAAATGTATTTTATAATTACATATATAGTTTAGTTTTATACTATATAAGCTGATGCTGAAGGAATTTTAATTAACAGAAAGGTAAGAAAAAAAAGTATTTTTATAAGTGGCAATTGTCAGTTAACATAAACAACCACAGCAACATCCACCACAATCACAAAGGCAGGTAGTCACAAGAAGGAAACTATAAATCTTAGCACAGTTATTTACCTACTATTCAGCCAAAGTCGTTTTGTCTCTTACTCTTCTTTCCTCACCTAATGCACACACACGCACACAAACCATACACCCTATTGAGTAAACATTATTCACTCTAACAAGCAGAGGGTAGGATCTATGGCCACATTGACATTCTCCGACAGTAATGGTGTGTTTTCATCATTGCTGATGATACGGGGCCAATTCACCCACGTTGACATTTATACACCAGGTAGTTCAGCCCGAACACACTGATTGGCCCGAGTCTCATTCCACCTGTGCTGGTAGATTACTGATTGGTTACTATGCCAACCTCTGAGGAGCCTAAGGAACAGACTTCCTGTTGTTTCTCATTGTAATGCATGTGCAGAATTTTTTTATTTCAATCAAAATCCACATTTGCATCGGAGCTGCATCCTGCTGCGTTTACCTATAATCAAGAAACCCTTCCTGTGGTATACATTACAGCTATAAAGCGTTTTCAGCCCCGGAAGCTCAGCAGGCGATATGTATGAAACCCTTGCTTCTATCTGAATGCCAATAAATTTGCACCTTTTCTTTAACTAAATAAGATCTGGATTTCCTTCTTTCCAGTTTTTCTAGTTTATGATCTGACTTACCAATCAGTTGTCCACCTCCTCCTAGACTTCAGGCACGTTTTGTGGAAAAGGAAATGTAGACCAGAACATTTTTGACAGAAAATAAAAAGCCCAATATTTGTCTCTAAATCTAAACGTTGATTCCTACACTAAAATAATGACTAAATTCAAATAATAGTTCATCAAAAAGGGAGATTTTATACATGATACGCCTGCCAGTACAATAGTACTGGGTTCCTAAATTGTTCATTTATTGAGGATTTTATCGGAAATAAATACCAGAAATTATCAAAATGTAATTAAAAAGGATTAAAAAAGCTCACGTCTGAAAGTTTGGGCAAAAAGATGCTTTTTGTCTGTGCAAAAAGATGCTTTGAGTGTGGTATTATTAGTTGTATTTTTCTGCTCTGAAACAGTGTATTTGTCCTATTCAGCGTTGACATGTGTGTTTCTGCTTGTGTCTGTGCATACACTAATCAGGCAGGCGTGGTGCCGCAATTCTGAGCTGTGAAAAGGTCAAATGGTGACCTTTGCCTGTGATTTCTAGGCTGAAATGAAACATGATGTGAGCCGCACAGAACGGATTACACACACGCACCCGTGCACAATTGCAAGCACACGCCAGATTACGATGTCATTGTGGTTTTGACCCATGTTTTCTGACCCTACATTACTCTGAGAAATCCAAGCTGAAAAGTTCTTTATTTTGTTTTTCCGGCGCTCTCAGCAGTTCGTTTTCCCCCTACTCCACAGCCATTAACCCCAGCCAGAGGACATCCTCCTGCTGATGGAACCATTCCAGCTGCCTTTGACACATAGTTTGCTGTACAACAACCACTATTTGCTGTTTTTGTAGCAAAATGGAGCGAAAATGCCTTCCTTCTTTGATTGTGTTGCCCTATTGTGACCTCATCTGATTGCAAGAAGCAAAGCAGGATTTTAAAAAGAAAATTTTCTTTGACATCAGTATTTATACAGAAAATGAAAATGTATGTAACAGCTTAAAGGCAGATGATGGTAAACTGCTGGATATCAAAACACTTGACTGGTTGAGTAAAGCAGATATTTTTGAAATGGTGATGGACAAAGAGAGTGTGGATATTTATTTAAGTAACCAACATAATTCCAAAAAAAAAACAAATTCCAAGTTTGAAGACGTTTCATTTCACATCCAGGAAGCTTTTTCAATTCAAAATGTCAGAAATAGCTTTGAGTTTAAGGCTTTATGCAGTAGCACAACAGGAATGCAATATGCTGGTGAAGATTCTCACCCTTCCAGGTCATAGTAAAGCCTTGAGCTCAATGCTTTTTCTGACATTTTGAATTAAAAACGCCCCCTGGATGGGAAGTGAAACATCTTCAAACTTGGAAACAGGGTCCAGTAGATTGTTTTTTAACTTTTTTGGAATGACTATGACCTGGATGACTGAGAACATTCACCAGCATGACTGACATAATCCAACTACAGTGCTGTGCATAATGTCTTCTCTCCTTACAGACGTCCTCTTCTATTGCAATTCACAATTCAGAGTTCTGTAAAATGTAGAAATTAATATAATAGTTCTATATCATCTAATTTATTCTGTTTGGACACCATAGTATACTGGACGAACACAAATAAATGCTTTTTATCTAATATTAGAGCAAGTTTTTAGATAATAACAAAAGTCCAGGTGAACATAACAAAATTCTAACCATTTACTAGATATATGACAGTGTAAACCATCTCATGGGCTAAGAAAACTATTTGCTTTCTTGTAGTTTTTCACAGCCTCTTTTATGAAAAAAGTTCCCAATCATCATATGAAACACAAAAAACATGATAGTTTAAAAAAAAAATGCTTTCAAAAAAATGATTTAATCCATTAAGGGGAAAAATCTGTTTAAACCAGGGAAGTACTTTGTAA